TCTACGGGAAGCTCTATTTTGAGTTCACTACATCAATGGTGTCAGACAGGGCTGTCCTCTTTCACCTTTCCTCTTCAAATTCGTCATTGATACGATCATGGAAGACGCACTACCAGCCTCTAATGCCTGTGGGGTCGAAGTGCTCCCTGGGCCTCCGCTCACAGAAATCGAGTACGCAGACGACACAGCTCTTCTAGGATCTGACCTCGTGGTAATGCAAACAATATTAAATAATCTAAATAATTCTACCTCACGGTTCGGCATGCGCTTCACACCTGCAAAGTGTGAAGTGCTACAGCAAGACTGGGTGGGCTCGAACCCTAGCCTCATGCTCGTGGATGAACCGATCGAGGTGGTAGACAAATTTGTTAACATGGGTAGCTGTGTCAGTCTCAGTGGTCTAGCGAAAGATGATATTGCCATCCGGATTGGGAAGGCCAGAGCAGCTTTTGTGAACCTACGTCACCTGTGGCGTAGGCGTGACATCAAATTATCCGTCAAGGGTCGAGTTTACAATGATGCGGTGCGCTCCATATTACTATACGGGTCAGGAACCTGGCCGCTGCGCCCCGAGGACGTCAACAAACTTTCAGTGTTTAACCATCGACGTTTTCGGAGCATTTCCCGAATCTGGTGGGAACACCGGATCAGCAATTCTGAAGTACGTCGAATGGTATTCGGGAGAAATTATTCACCCTCGATCATCATCATCATCATCATCCTCATCATCATTATCATCATCGACAGCATGATATCAGTGTTCAACACCGACGCTTCACAGCCGTACAGCCATCTTCTTCGGAAGGTTCATTTCGTAAGACATGAATGGTGGAATAGAGCCAGAGGCGGTCAAACAATGACTTGGTAGCAAAAGACAAAAGCCATTACCAGCAAACTCGGCTGCGCTGGTTATTGCCATCTTCCTGGATGGGGACCTCCATGCGGGCCACATCAGTGGTTATAGATGTCGTCAGACATGGCGCAGTCGAGCCCTCAATGTGGCTCATGCATCTGTTGGTGCGCGGGTTATGATTATTGATACTCACAATATAATTTAGAAGGTATATGGACTAATAATACTTTTTATTATGGTTGACCGTGGTGAGTTGCGCTAAGTAGAAAAGTGAGTGCAACATGACGTTTGGATAGTCCCTTGGTGAAAGGGGGAACGTGTTTTCTCCGTAGTATAGCTGCTACACGTGTTCCTTGCTTGTCCGTGGACTCATCATCATCATCATCGACAGCATGACATCAGTGTTCAACACTGATGCTTCACTGCCGTGGACTTGGGGAGTTTGGCTGACTCCTTGCTCCCTGCGGCGCGTCTGTGTGTCGACTGTGTTCTGTCCTTATATATGCGAGCGAAACGTGAAAAAGAGCAATATGAAATCACATTGCACCTCTAACGAGATCACCGAACCTGTTGTTGACCAAAGGTCGTATTCATATCACGATGTTGTTTCGTGATGCACGTTGTGGTATGTGGAACAAAGCAAAGCACGAGGGAGACAGCGGAGGCGGATACACTAATTAGATTGGGCTACCGCTGCACATCCAAGCTATTGCCTTCAATGCATAGCTTCGTTCCCAACCCCCCAGACCTAATAGTCCACTGACGGTGTTGTATTTACGCACCAATTTATCAGCTCTCCAATGCACAGATCCCTAACCCACCTCCAAATCATCGGTGGACGAAACTGGCAGCTACATCCACTGTACGACAAGTACGCAGTTCTTACAGCTGGCAATGATGAGGATGATGGTAAATGTCATGATAATCACAGAATCGTCAGCATATGTCTTCCAGACATGTATACGAACTACCAAAGGAGATATATAACTGCTTGAACGCCCTGTGTCTATGAGGGCCTGAAGCAATATTCCGTTCATTTTTATGCTGGTCACCATGCGGGACAAACAGTTTGGGGGCTGCAGCAGTCAACAGGGAAAATAAAGCAGAATCCTTCGTGCAGTTTGAGTAATTTTTGACAGATTTGGATCGACAAATACGCTGAAAATGGCCCTTTTTATCAAGTGGTTTACGAACTGTTTCTCTTGTGGATGCCTGGGACGACCGCAAAAATAACATCTGAGAACTGATTAACGAGAGATAAGGTGTGGAGTCAGGGGAGATTGAGTGTGAAGGGGTAATCGTAGACGTCTGTATAAGTGCTGCAGCCGCAGAAAATGATATCGACTGGTTATGCGAGTACGATGAAGCTTGTTTGTTGGCCAGTTCTAATGACCTAGACAATTCATGTGCTTCATCGAGAGTGAGTTCATTTTGAGCCAGAAGTCTTTGTCTGATGGAAACAGACTGAAGTCCGTTGATCAGAGCATCGCGTACACTTTGGTTTTGGTGGCCTTAAAATCACAATTTCTAGCCAAGGATTTAAGCCTCTTAACAAACTGATCAACCCATTGATTGGCGTGTTGTTTGCAAGTTTGTAGAAGATGACGAACATAAATTGTTCTTAGGACGGATGTACAACTTTTCAAGTGTACTGATGGCAGATTCGTAATCGGGATAGTCAGCGATGTAAACGTATGCAGGTGTATCCACAAAATGGATCAAGGTTTGGAGGTTTTTTAGATTAGGCGATTCGGCGATGACCAGAAACGTTTGGAAGGTTCGGAACCAATTATTCCAACGCGTGACGTCTGGAGAATTTGGATCCGTGTCAAAACACTTGGGTCGCAGCAACGGTTCCTTTGTATTCTTAGACAAGTCATCACCATCATTGTCAGCTGTGATAACCGCGTACTCGTACAGTGGTTGTAGCTACCGCAGTTTCGTTCACCGATGATTTGGGGGGTGGGT